TGGGCTGATAAATGCAATAGGTGACAAAGTTTTACCTTTTGGGCTAAGCAGCCCTCTTGAATTGCAAACAGCATCATCTACTGAACAGGTGTGTAGGCTAGAGAAGAATTTTCCTCCAAAATCTCAGCTTTGTTTCCTGCTTTAGAGTCACAATTATATCTGGTAGCCTTTATTTCAAATGGATTTCAGGTTTAGATTAGCTACCCTTGCATGTGAGCTATTTAAAGTGTTCCTGCTATCTAGAATAAAAACTTTAAGACCGGAATATAGTGCCCAAATGACACAGTTAAGGCTGGAAGAGGTTACCCTGAGGACTAGGGGTAAAAAAACATCTCAGCCAGAAATAACTAAAAATGTACTGCAGAGGTTTCCAAAGACACAAACAGGTAAGCTTTGACCACAGAGGTTAAGAGTTCAACATTTCTAAGTCATAAAGAAACAATGAGTCAAACTTTAAGTTTGTGGCTGAGAAGGAAAAAAAAAAAAAAAAATAAACAAGTTACTTTGCCCAGAAATCTTGTTTCTACAACTGTACCATACCATTAACCAGGATTTTAGGGTTTTTTTTTCTCCATCAGAAACACTTTAGCCTTTTCTATAACACAAGCAGTGAAACTGTTTGTAACATTTTGTCAGCACTGCGGTAAACGAGATGAGAGCCTTGAAGTGTTCACATTACCACTACCTGTTGCTGGCTGATTTTGTGCAGATATCCAGCATCCATGAAACGGACCAAAGCTTTCACAAACGCACAGCCACATACTGTGCAATGGTTTTCACTGGGACAGCCTGATGGTTACAAACACACACAGTCTTCAGGAGAAAGTCAGCTCACCCCTGGTAGGCGTGCACTGCTCAAAGCAACAGCAGCGTACTGCTGCAACACCTCAGCATCTTCCAGTGTTGCTATCTTTAGTCCTTGCACCTGGGAATGACCTTCTCAACACTGCCGCTATTCCACTCCCTAGTTTTAACAGCCAGCCTACTTATCGGTGTGTAACACAGATAAACTGCAAGAGTTTCTCTCGCCAAACAAGCCTTTCTTCCATCATACAAAAACCTGAGTAAATACTAAGTACTTTTAGAGTAAGAATCTTCTACCTTACAGAAAGGCAAGTAGAGAGATACCTTCAGTAAATCTTCTACCACAACAGCATGTCCAAAGTAGCATGCAAGGTGAAGAGGTGTCCAGCCCAAATTAGATTTACTTCTGCCTGGAAGATATAAAACAGAATCAGGTAAATTAAGTCTTGGTAACACAATACAACAAGAGTGGTGCTTGAAGGGCAGGATGCATGATCATTCTACAGTAACACAGAGAGGATTTGGTGTATTTTGGGCCAGAAAGCATTATTACAATTCATTATTACAATTCATTTAATCAGAATCACTAGATCAAGCCATGGTCTGAGCACATCACACACACAAGTCTACAAAATCTTTCTGAAAGCAGAAAGCCATACTGTTTGACAGCAACTAAAACTTGTCTTCATGTAATATCTTCTGATTTGACACTAGCAACCAGCTTTAGTTACTTTCACTCACTGTGTGCAAAGTACACACAGAATGCACAGTACACACAGAGTGCACATATATGCTTTTCTCTTAAGTGAAAAGCCAGGCTTACCTGGTTTTATTTCTTGCACATGAAGAAGAGCTATGATAAAGCATCATCTTATTCCAAATCAGAGATTTGGAATAAAACAGTTGGCATGCTCGGGGAGAGAGGCCTTCTGCTTGGGATCATTTTTTAGATACAGAAAGCTTACTAAGAAAGTTAAAGCTTTAAAAACTTGGTGACAAAGACAAATGTAGGCAGAAGGAAGGCACAGAAGTGGCAATCTGAAGGGTAATACCCATTATACTATAACAACTGCGAAAGCGTTCCCTGGAGGGGTGGCTGTATTACTGAAATTCAAGAATTGTCCTACAATCATTTATTTTAAAAGCAGGATTTGAAAGCACTGGACATCACAACTACGGGACAGTTAACATGGGCTTCCACTTGTTGCAACACTCCACTGCATCAAGGGAAGCCAATTCCAGCTCTGTGCTTATTATGCCACAAGCCTGCAGCATTCTGCATGCTACCTGAATGCTACGGACATGAAGCCGACACGAGGCATTAAACTATATGAGGTTACAGTCACATGGAGTTTTCTCTCAAGCACCGAATCTGAGAACATGCATGTCATAAGAGTTTGGCCTGAGGAGACAAGTCACTAGTACAAGCATAAAAGAGAACTACTGGTCTTACAAGTTCATCATTTTCTTTCTACTTTCATTTTAAAAATTAACATAAGAATAGGGTTCACAGCTGAAATACTTCCCCATTCCTTGCAATTGTTTCCACCTAACACTTCTGCCTACTACTGCCTATCTACTTTGCTATTTGGTTCTCTTTCTTCAATTCCTTCTCCCGTTCCAACCCCACGTTTAATACCTTCCTCTCGGCCCGGTCTGGCCCACACAGTTCCTGCCCTACGCAACTGATGTTCCCCCAAGCCCCACAGAAGACACGTGGCACATGGGCCACATGCAGCCATGCTGAATAGCATTCCAACGGAGATCATCCACATGAGTCTGGCAAAGCTGAAATCCTTGCACTTTGACCAGCAAGTAACACTAAGACCTGAACAATGCAAGTTTCCATTGAGCATCACATCGCTCGACACCAAAATATGTATCAGAAATATCACTTTTCCTTTTACTTGCTGATTATGATACACACTTTCTAAGCAGCTTGGGCTGATTGAAACCACTCCTCTAGTTCACTAGCATCAGAATGATATATGAAAGATTCTTCCAAAAATGCAAAAGGGGCCAGCGTTGCACAGAACTCACACAGTCAGCCCAAGACAGGCATTAGTTACTGAGATGACCAGATAGTGCTGCTGCCAAGAAATTCAGTTATGAAAAAAAAGTGACAAGATCAGAACTTTTTATGCAATAAAGTGCCAGAGGTTTTTGCTCTGTACCTACTCTAAATGTTTATGTCTCTGCTATCAGCTGAGCAGTTACTTCAAACTCTCGAGGTGTATGTTACTTCTCCTCAAGTGCCTGCACTTTACCACAGCCTGTATTTTCTACCAGGATATTAGCGCATTGAGGAGAATGACAAGATAGACAAGAAGACAAGAAAATAGACTAAAACAATAAGAAAAAACAACAATCCACCTTCATCCCCAAATTCTTTGCTTTGATGCCACTTGACTATAAATCTCAAATCATTCAATTAAGAGAATGAACAAGAACTAGAGCATCATTTCTTGGGTTGTGGTCTGTCAGACTGCTGTGCAGTCATTCAATTATATATTTTTGCATTGTACACTTGCTATTGATCACTCATGCTAGTTTTCTCACTTAGGCCTAGATATTCAAAGTTATTGTATTTAAGTAGAAGGAGACAATGAAGACAGAGCCTTTGATAACATGACTGTTTTGGATGAAACCCAGGTCTTGTTTCAATGCAGATTCCTCTTCTGTGATCAGTCATCTGAGGAAACTGGAAATGGAAGTTTATTCCATTTGGCTTGGTTTTCATCAACTACATCTTGCTTATCTGCAAATGTTGATTAACTTAGAAGTCAGCCACAACAGAACAAGTATGACAAGCCTGGATTTGTTTCCTCTTTCTGAAATTCATATTTGGAACAGTTGGAGTCACTGTTCATGGCTGTGAATCTAATGTGCAGTTCACCCTTTCAAAAAGGAGGCACACTTTACAAGATGTTTGGACACTCAGGCAAAACAATCTTTTAGACTCAAGCACCCCATGGTGCTTTTAGTGGGAAGTTCACACTACCTCCAATACCATCTTCCACCTGCTCCAAAAGTACTTTATTCCAATACTGCCAGTTCAGATGCAGGTTCTGAAGGAGCAGCTGCTATCTAAGGATCTCGTCTTTCTAGGGACATCTATCATTATCTACAAGATAACCATAGAAAGACAAGAGGCTAAAGGGAAGGGAATAAAGATTGAAGGTTCCAAAATGTTACAGTCTACAACTTTCATTGTAGTGAATTATCATGTGGCTATGTGATTACTATCCAGTATTATCTAACCGATCAGGATTTCCAGCAAAGCAATGTCCATAGTAAGGGGGCTTAATGGCAGAGTTAGTTATACTGCAGATGCTGGCTGGCCTGTCTTGTCTTGGATGGTTTCTGGAAGAAGCAGAGTAGTCAAAATGGTCAGGTGTCTCTGAAGAGCATGTGTATAAGAGTAAAGATTTAACCGGGAAGTTTCATACTACCCAGAACAGTTCCTCCAGAGGACATTTCAGTCACTTCTTTGCCTGCTAACAGACTAACCCATTTAGAAGAACCAGAGATAAAGAACAGAAATTTTATCCAGTAGCGATTTCCTATTCAAGACTACTTTGTTTCATCCAAACTACCACGGACACAGTCCTTCTAGCTTCCTGGACCTTCTGTTAGCATGCACGTCTTAGCTGCCTGGCAGCCACGCACTGCTAAACTGGAAGAGTAGCAGCTAAGCCCTGCCTATCTTTTCCTTCATTAGATGAGTCTTTTCTGCCCGACTGCTGACTTTCACAATCCCAGCACTTGACTTTGATCGGGAATGCTAACCTCAGACCAATTTGCTTGATTTGCTAGACCTCAGATTATGCCATTTCACTAGGCTTTCTTGCCTTTAGATTATTCTAAGAACAAAACTGAGAAGCTCTGAAAACCCTTAAGCACTCCAGTGATCTACTTATGTGCACTGTATTATAAATCTTAGGATTTTTCTTCCAACATGCACTAGAGATGATGCCGTGGATGTCTGCAAAAAGCTTGTGAAGGTGGAATATTCTAGCTCTATCTGGTTCATTTTTAAATTATGAAATAGCTTCCTGAAGATGAAGCATCAAGAGTTTGGTTTTACACACAGCTTATTTTATGAGGTGAACACTTTAACCATTGTGAAAACACAGACAAGGATGAGTCATGGAACAAAAGCCTGAGTAAACTGATGATTAAGAACTGAAATTGGGAAAGGGATAGAACTTCTTTGGATAACAGCCTTCCCTGCCCTATTGGGCAAGGTATTCCCTTTGTCATGCCTAAGAGAGGAAGGACATCCCACATATGCACTTTGTAGGACTGTCTCCTCAGTGCTAATTAACAGCTGAACGTTGAATAAAAAGAAAACACCATCCTGTAGAAAAAGCAGGATATACATCTAGTTTCTTGAAGCAAACGGAAACAGTTGTGCAAATAAAGCGAAATATAGAGCCATTCAATGAGTAAAAAATAGGACAGTCTGCTTCTGCTAACAAGCTCGCTAATCCAACCCCAGTTTGAAGTTTTAACGCTTCTTAACTATGCTAGATATGCACATGCAAAAGTTTGAAATTAGCCAAAGACCTAGACCAGCAATTTCTACTTTCTCTTCCCAAGTGAAAGTTTCTTGTATATATTAAAAATAAACAAAGAATCATACATTTGTCTCTATCCTCCTTGTAAGCAGTTGATAATGAATTGATAACAAACCATGACTTGAAAAATCATATCTAGCAGAGCATACAAAAGGTATCTGATCTCCTCTGCAGCCTTGACTGGGGCTCTTTACATCCCTCAGGCATCCACTTGTGCTTTGGTCTGTTTTGTTTAATATTATAACCCCCAGAATGTTGGCATCAGCCTAGGTGTTGGCTGAAAGAGATACTGCTTCTTCACCTTGCTGACATTTCTAGCTTCAGTGAACTCCTCTGAATTCTGTACATTACATTTACCTACACATATGTTTTTATGATCTCTTCCCCACATAGTGGGGCCTTAAAAGTCACACGATAAAAGCAGTTGCACAAGTGGTTTCTGCAAGCCTATAAAGCACTTCAAAGAAAGCAAGGTTATCCTATCAGTTACCGTTTCACTAACTGTGGCTTCGACACTGAGGTTACAGACATGTGAGGAGGGCTACTAACCTTTACAGTTGATGTTAAAGATTATTTCTCCTTTGTCCATGGTATGCAAAAGCTGTTTAACTTCTTCAGAGTTTCCATTTCTAGCATCATGGAGAAGCCGCTGTTCTGCTTCTGTACTCATCTCTAATAAAGATACAAGAAAACTATTTTTGCAAGTGTCTTATGCTACTATAAATTATTACATAACATTATGCCACTTTTCACCCTTATTTACTCTGAATCCCAGCACAAAAGAGGTGATCACTTCTTTTGTACAAAACCTTTAATATTCAAGCTGTTCTTCTCCGTCCAGCACCCAGTAACACCACTGTGAGGAACATTAAAATTTCTCATCCAAACATAGAAGCTAAATAACATAACTCCCATATTTTCCTGCTTCTTGGTTTTCTAGGTTCTAGGTGTGATTTAGGTATTGAAACTGCTTAACACAAGTGAGAAACATCTTTGCTACAAGCATAACCACTAAGCATTTACTTTTTCTTCTTAAAGTTTCCAACTTTTTCCACATAATGCTCAGAATTAGTTGTGGCTCATTTTAACTACTACCACCTAGAGAACAGAATCCATGTTCACATGGGAGAGCCTAGATGCCCATTCACTGACTGGGGAAACCAACTATTCAAACTCAAATACTTGACTCCTTTCACTTTGAATTGAAGGAGAGTCAGATATTCAAACATGTTTCTTTCCACATTTAACTTTAAGATGCTCATTAGTGCAATATAAATACAATAACACACAACCACTAGCTAGTTCTCATATTACAATTGTTTTTGAAAATAGCAGAATTTCAAAGAAAGTTTCAAAGAAACTTCTTTCAAAGAAGTTAGAAAAAAAAAACCTATCAGTGTAGCTATTTCACAGCTCTTTACTAGACTCAGCGTAAGACCTTTAGGCAACTCATACAGCTACTTATCAGGTCTCTCACTGAAGACATTAATTAATTTATGTCTTGACCAATCTTTCTCCACTAAAATAGACAATTTGATTTTTTTTTACTGCTATTACAACTAGTCCAGATGCAGCACTGCTCAACATGGGAGAAAATCCATCTTCATGGATTGCACCCTTTTTAGAAAGGAGCCAAACAGCTATAAAAGGAACGTGTACTGCAATACACAGTTTACCTTTGCTAAGAACAACAGCACAAGAACAGGCTCCCCACATTTGTCAACTCCAATTTACCTTCTTCACCTGACACATCAGACCTAAACAGATCCTGCAGAGAACCTAGATTTCTAAAGCCAGTTAATGATTGCAAAAGACATTAGCCAAAAATGTTAGCTTTTCAGCCGCCCCACAACATGCTCACACTCTGCTGCACTGGACAGGCAGCTCAGTTGTATCACACTCATTCACAACTTCACAGGCAACAGCTACTTCTGCAAGATGAGAAGCTACTCAACAAGAAAAGGCATGATTCTGTTTTTTGTGTAGATTTCCCAGAAATAACTGCGGTGGTCACAAGATAAGAGAACTGGGTAGGGAAAAGCACACAACAGGAACAGATAATGCAGTATCTGAGAGCCTGGCAGAGAAAGCTAAAGCAGGGGACAGGCTCCAGAAGTGCTGACATGTGAGATTTTCCCTGCGGTTCTAACTGCAGAGGGCTTAGGGGCAGGAGAAGGGAACGGGAACCAGCCTTCAAGCTGCAGCATTTGCCAGACCCGACCAAGCAATCCCTTTCTAGCACACTTCCAAAGAACAGACTGGACCAACCGCCTGCAGCCTGCCACAGACATGGGGTACAACCTCCTTTTCCAAAAGAGGATTAACAAGCAAACAACATTTTTTGATTGTGCTTGCGTTCGTCTACAGTTTTGCTAGAATATCGCACCCGTACTTCTAGTAAACCTCCAAGCCCTGAAGCCACCTTCTCCTAAAACAGGAACCTATCCAATGGTCAGAGGCAACAGGTATAGCTTGTTGCTATTAGGGCATGCCCCATTTGTCTGGTGAAGCTGTTTTACCAGCACCTAGAGAAAGATCAGAATTAAATACGCGATGCACTGAGAGTCTGCAACACTTCCCCTGAAACCAAGAGACACTATTCAGCAGACCACAGAACACAGCACAAAGAATCATGCAGCCAGAAGTTCACAGCACAGCGAGAGCTCATTTCGCTGACTTACTCATTGAAAAAAGAAAAAGGAGAGCTCATCCTTCATTTCTCCCCTCCCACACAACATCTCTTTAGCAATCTCTCAATGTATCACATGAGAATTATACTCTTATCATTGCCCCATAGTATTTGTCAACATCCCACGCAGGCAGTGAGTACATACAGCGGCGCACCTGTCCCATTCAAGATGGATGAGAAGGAAGAAAAGACTGCTTGGGAATGAACCAAACAACAATCTGAACACACAACTCTCATGCACGCAGCAGGGCAGTGATGTGCACGAGCAGAATGCTAAAAAGCTTCGCAGACACAGACAGCCAGGCGACTGTGTAACACTACTTGTACGAATCTTTCCTCAAAAGTCATTAGATTAAGATCACTCATCATTGTTTTTTAACTCTTAAGAGCAAATATTATCAATGGAGTGAAATGCCTAGTAATACCACTAAGAAAGGGCCATTGGCTTCAGTGCTTCAAGCCTGGAGACTTTGCTGTTTAAGCCAAGCCTTGAATTTCAAATACACTTTGTCAGCTTCAAGCATGCAGTGATGCAGAAGAGCAACAGGCCGGCTGTTAGTCATGGTTAGTGGGGTCATTCACATGGAAATATTCCTACAGTTGGGGCTGGAAAGCGAATCTGCTCAGCACTACCCATTAGACAGCAAGTGATACAGATCCTGAAGCTTTAGTTAGCAGAAACTCAAGTTAGTACTAGTGCCTAAAGGGGCTCTTAACAGAAGTTAACATCACCTTGAAAATACTTTTTTAAGCAATATGATTTACTCTTTAACGGAGCTGAGCAATAGTCAACTGAAGACTTTGAGTGACAGGTTAAATAACTGAAAGAAATCAATACGTAGACACTCAATCTCTACAGGCTGCCAATTTTATTCGGTACATCTGCCCTCTGCAGCAGAGGGGAATATTTGATCAAGTGACTTGCCACCCAAAGGGCTGCAAAATCCTCGCCCATCAGTTTCGAGGCGCCACGACAGCTCACCAGCACCGAGGGAGGCGCTTAATGGTTTATTTGGATTTATTAGCCATAAAATATGACTAACGGGTTAATCTCAATGAACTGTGCAGATTATAAGATAAGCTATTGGCCACTTACGTGAACTGACATCTGCTCAGCCAGTGATGCTGCCATCACTAGGCTATGCCATTAATCAGCTGATGCAAGTTAAGGTGCTTTTCACACATGTATTTTGGAAGGCTTGCACGCTAGTCCCTGCAGTCAGTGGCATGCCATGAGAAAGTAATGCAGGAGCAACACCTAGCATCTCTCACACGGCTGAGTTGCAACTGCGAGCCACTTTTGCTAAACTCATTAGGACTAGTTGAGCACTACTTGGCTGTTAATTGGATCTTATCCTGTAAGAAGGTAAAAAGAAGAGCATTTAAGATACTCTACTGTTATCATTCTGTATGAACCTTCCACTGGAGAAATTTTCTTCACTCTGCTGAAGCATCACACACGGGCCATTTTCCATGCAGACCAGAGTGCCCAAGTTAGCATGCTGTTTGCACACCTGGTTGAGGGCTCTTGCAGAAGGCCAGCTGTTGATACACAAACTGCGCTTATCTAACTGCTAGGAGAGTTCAAGCCAAAAAAAAAAAAAAGCTTTTCTCACCAGGAGGCCTGGGAAGATCTGAAGTGCCATCCCTGACCAAGGAGCTGCACGATAGGAACCGCTCGCTTTTACTTTGACTCCTTCTCCCACACCAAGGCCTCCCAGCACAGAACAGCAACAGAACACGCTAGCCAGGGCATTGCCTCGGCAGCGTCGCACGCCCTGGCACGGGCACTGCCCGGCCTAATGCAAAGGCTCCGAGTCAGCAGCTCCCCGGGGCACAGGAGGCTTCGCGATCAGGACACGCACTAACACCAGCCCTGGCTGCAGGTTCAGAAGATCTCCCTTAGCAATGCAGGCCGGATTCCTGCAGGAGAGGACGGTACTCACCCAGGAAAGCTTCCTGCTTGTCCCGGCAAGTAGACATGAGCCACGTGAGGCCACAAAGGCGCAGGTAAGAAGCCCCGAACCGCAAGGACAGCCAGAACCGGTCCGCGAGACCGCGCGACACACTCGACACCCACAGCAGTCTCTGTGGGGAGGAAGGGCCGCAGTATCACAAACCTCTAATGATGCCACCTAAAAATAGTTATTTTAACTTCCAGGCAGAAGGCTCCAAAACCCAGAACTCCAGCATGCTTCCGAGGCCCAGCTTCAGGAGGTTTCACACTCAACCACCACTTCACCCAAGGCACAGGTACCTCTGTGCGAGCGCAGCAGCTCCTGGGCAGCTCCTGTCCGGCCGGGGGCGTTTATTTAAGCTAATCCCCGTTCCCGGACGCTTCCCGGG